GCACGGCCTCCCCGGGGCTCTCCTGGAGATCAGATGGGGAGCAGCATCCCCATCCCTTGCTCCAGCCAGCCCAGCAGCATCATCCCGCGCCCGGACCCTCCACCTACCTGTGCTGGGGAAGGTGTCAGTGGGCAGCGGGGGCCGTGTCCGTCCCCACCGGCTCAGCAAAGCCCCGGCCCTGCCCGTGCTGCTCCCGAAGCTGCCGGATCCTCTGTGTAATCTATTAATGCACGGCTGGTCCAGCTGCCTCCGACACGGCAGGAGCCGGATAATGGGAGCGTCCTTCCCCCCCCCCCGCTGCTCCCGGGGGATTTGGCTCCGATGAATGTGAGCGACCAGGATGGAGGCAGCGTCCTGGTACCCAGCGGCAGAGCTGCTGGAATGGGGTTACCGCAGCATCCACCATGGCCCTAAGGGGACGGGGGGGGGGGGGGGTAACGCGTGGTGGGACACAGCGGTACCCCAGGGAGGCCCTGACTGCATCCTGCATCCCTGCAAATGCCAGCCCTGCCATGGCTTTTCTGCAGTTGCTCCTGGATTTTGTGGTTCTTCCCACTTCCCTGCTGCTGGTGGAGCCAAGGGGATGCAGGGGGTGTACCCAGGGAAGAGATGGTTAAAGAAAGGGGATGAAAAGAAAGTAAATGCCCCAAAGTGAGCCTTTGGAGATGAAACATATGGCGGGTGAAGGGGCAGGGTCAGCACAAGGGGAACAGGGCAGCAGTGTTAAAAAAGCTATTATTGTGTTACTTGGAGGGACAAAAGGCCACTGGCAGGTGGTTTAGCTGAGTAAAAGGAACATAACTGATGGAAAAGCAAAACCCCAAAGAGAGGAACCCCCCTAGCCCCAAACCTTCATTAAATAAACACTAAAAAACCCTTAAGGGAAGATTTCCTGCCTTAAGAAACGTTTCCACAGAGAAAAGCTGCCCAAATTGAGCCCCAAAAGCCTCCCATTGCTGTCCATCCATGGGGCTGTTTGTCCTCACTACAGCACCCCAAAGAGCTGAGGCTCTGGTATAGACAGGGGTACCTCCGTGTGCTGGAGCCTTGGCAAATCCCCCTGGTGTCCTGGGCATTCAATGGCCTGGAGGTGAAATGCATGTATATGTTGGTTCTTATGGTGTTCTATGATATATCTGCCCTAGTGGAAGGTGTCCCTGCCCATGGCGGGGGGGTGGAACTGGATGAGCTTTATGGTCCTTTCCAACCCAAACCACTCTGTCATTCTATGATTCAATCTCATAGATACGTGTGAGTGGATATATAAAATATAGAATATATATAATATACATAATTATACATATATATATTTTAAAATCTATCTATCTATCTATCTATCTATCTATCTATCTATCTATCTATCTATCTATCATCTATCTATCTATCTATCTATCTATCTATCTATCTATCTATCTATCTATCTATCTATCTATCTATCTATCTATCTATCTATCTATCTATCTATCTATCTATCTATCATCTATCTATCTATCTATCTATCTATCATCTATCTATCTATCTATCTATCTATCTATCTATCTATCTATCTATCTATCTATCTATCTATCTCTATCTATCTATCTATATCTATCTATCTATCTATCATCTATCTATTTATCATCTATCTATCTATCTATCTATCTATCTATCTATCTATCTATCTATCTATCTATCTATCTATCATCTATCTATCCTATCTATCAATCATCTATCTATATCTATATCTATCTATCTATCTATCTATCATCATCTATATCTATCTATCTATCTATCTATCTATCTATCTATCTATCTATCTATCTATCTATCATCTATCTATCATCTATATCTATCTATCTATCTATCTATATATCTATCTATCTATCTATATATATATATATATATCTATCTATCTATCTATCTATCTATCTATCTATCTATCTATCTATCTATCTATCATCTATCTATCTATCTAGGATATCTCTCCCCATAAGCCTTTATAGCATTAACCCACCGGAGCCATTTCTATGGAGCAGCCACTCAATGCCCTGCTACACTGACCTGGCCAAAGGCAAAGCCCCACCAGGAGCCAGCCCTCAGCCTCCCCAGGCAATCGATAGTGCTAAGAGCCTCCCGGCAGCCTCCTGGAGCCACCATTCCTCCACCCTGCTCCAAGAGAGGATGCTGGAGCCTGGGCCTTGGCCAGGGATCGATGGAGCTCATTGGAGCCAAACGCTGAGCCTGTGGCACCCAAAGGAACCAATAAATGTCCCTTGTTAATTGCAAAGGCAACGCTGGGCTTTGCTTGCTGCAAACAGCCCCATGGTGCGGGGCTGCTTGGGGTGGGTGCAGCTCAGGGCACCTTGCCCTGCTCCAAACCCTCTATTATGTCTATTAAGGAGGTCAGCGATACCCAGCGCTGAACCAGAGATTATCATCTGCCTGTTGACATCAGTCATAATCTCCCCGTGCTGCCTTCAACAGAGAATGGGAAAGGCCTGGGCTCGATGATAAACTGACCCTGAAGAGGGGCGGTTGGAATTCTGTGGATTTCCCACAATCTGACGGCCGAGCAGGGCTGGGGCAGCACATGGTGAATTTAGGAGCCCCCATTAACAACAGCCGTAAATGCAGGGGTTCACTGAGCTCATCCCAGCTCTACCTGGCCGTGGCATCCTTGGAAGAGGCAGGGAGCCTTGTGGACACGTCTGCCCATCCCTCAGGGGGTCTGGGATGGACTCGGCACAGCAGATTGTGGGGCTCCCATTAGCCACCCCACCAGCTTTGTAGATTAAAGTATTATGAACTCCTGAAGTTGTACAATATTAATGACTGCAGCCATCTGTTAACCTGGCAGCCAGCAACGAGCTGGGGCTTTGCTTTGCTTAGGCCAGTTATTAAAAAGGAGTATTTTTGGTTGGGCAGGCAGCTGGAGCACAACTCCTTTCCATCCCAGGGTAGCCGTGCGATGACTTGCATCCCATTCCTTAGTGCTCCTCCTGCATTATTTAGGTGCAAAGCAGGGAAGGGCAGCTCCTGAGGCAGGAGCTGAATGGACGGGATGCTGTGTGTGACATACATACCCTGTGCTGCACAGGACCAAAGGTTGTCATCTGAGGGTGTGGGACTGCACTGGCACCAAGTCAGCAGCCCTCATTGCTGTCCCTGGGAAGCAGGTGTCTGCCTCAGGCCCAGCTGCTAACTATGGCTCTTTGGGATGGTGTTTTAGATACCTCAGTTCTCTGGTGCACGCTCCAAAGGGACAAAGTCATTTTGGAGGTTAATCAGTGTCCTTGGGAGAAACGGCACCAGCACTCACAGCAGCCAAGGTGGGGATGGGTAATGCAGGCAGAGGCAGGAGGTTTGGGGATGGCCCTGAGCATCACCCCCAAGTCACTCTAAATTACCCCCAGCCCTTTTACTTTATGAATTGCCCATTGCTCACATAGCCAAGAGGGCACAGCTGCCCCTGCCATGTCCTCTGCTTGGAGCTCAGCCTTGGTGGGGTGTGCATCCCCATTCCCCCATGGGCAGAGCTGGGAGAGCCACCCAGGGTCACCAGCAGCACTAGCCCAAGGCATTTACTTCTTTGTTCTTTATTATACTGAGAACTTCCCCCTGAGGCCCATAAACAATGAGTTTATTGGCAGTGACTTTCAGCAACCCTACCCCTAATCAACCAGCCCCCAGGTAGGTTGCTCACTGCTGATCACAACCTGGGCAGGTACATAATGCTCCTGAGCCAGACAATGGCATTCCCATCCCAGGCTTTATCATCAGACAATTCCCCTCTTTTCAGATGAAATTGTATTTTCAATGCAGGTACTTAGTTGCCAATGGTGGGTTCAGTGTTTGGCAGCATGAGCTGGGCAGAGACTTGCTAAAATGGTCGATTGCTAAAATACAATAGGTGGATGAGGCAGCTCTGGGCGCTCATTTGCTTCTCCAACCTCTGTATTTCAATTTTTCATGAGCCCTGCTCCTCTCACTTATACCTGGAGCAAAGCAGACAAGATCAGCATCCGATTTACCTTCAGGGCTACATTAGTCACGGTTTCAGGGCACCAGGAAGATGTTTTGCACTGTGGTTGAGTGTAAGAACTATACCTGCATCTACCCAATCCATGCCCAACGTCAAGTGTAGATCGTCAGAGAAAGCCTTTTTCTCATACATAAAAGATTTTATCATCACAGGGAGGATTACTCTATAGATAAGGGCTGCTATAATGCATTAAAATTGAGAAGTAGATAAATAATGAATAGATATGCTATTTACTTACAGTAAATAAGGTGTTCCTAACCCTTTCCTTGTGATGGTAAATCCAGGCTGGAAGGGGGAACAAAACCCCTGCCCTCACCTGCCCCCTTCTCCTGCACAACGTGACACCCAGAAGCCTACATCCATTCCAAGTTTAGTGTAGTGCTGGGGCTGCCTTGGTTTCACTGTTCCCTTTTCACACCCACAGTGAAACGACAGAGCATGATGTAACCATCAGCACACCCAGGGACTAACAAACTGGATTCTGTTGGAGAGCTGGGAACAGGAGAGCAGCCAGGAAACATCATAGGGCAGGAATGGGAAGTTCTTACACACCAGGGCAAAGCAGAGAACACGATACAGGGCCTGTGAAGATCAGCATTTGCAAGTCCCTTCCCTGTCTTTTGTTCTCTCCCCATTGGACATAACAGGAACAGGGACCTTCTACCACTCAGGAATGTGAGGTGAGGAAAGGTTATGTAATTAGAAACGTGCACGAAACCTGTCTTGGAAACTGGGATGAGATGACACACCAGTGGGTCTTCCAGGGCAGCAGAAGGAGCTGTGGCGTGGCCACCAGCAGAGCCACATTCCAGAGGCTCAAGGACCCTCCCTGACCAGGCTTGTCCTGCCTGAACTTGGACAAAGCAACCGTTCAAAGAAAAAACCCCAACCACACCCCCCATAAAACAGAGCTGACAACGAGTGCATTTCCATAGAGTTTTACTGGAGACTGTGTCCACTCAAACACAGGGCCCAGATGTACAAAACTTTAACAGCAGCAGAGTTTATTTAGGACAACAAAAGCTGCAAAAGACTTGAATGTGCAAAATAAAACGAATCACAGATGATGATTTCTTCTGCTGCTGCTGCCTGCCAGAGCAGATGCAGGCAGGTATGACAGCAGGGCAAAGGATATCAAACAGGCTTGAAATGTTTCTTCATTTCTACCTCCATAGGTCAAACGTTAACTCCAACTTAGCACTAAAATAAGGCTTTGAAAAACCCGGGGCCATCAGCACCCCCTAAGTCACCAACTGCAGGAAATAAAACCAAATACAACCCGCGTCCGCATATGAAACCTGTGCTATTTGCTAACAAAACAAGTTATTCACTGCATGAGGCCTCCTCAATCTGCTTTCTTGAAGCAATAAGAACCCTTCAGTTAATGCCCTTCAGCCTCAGGAGCAGGTTATTTTCATAATACAAAACAAAAAGGGTGTGCAAACAGCATTTCAGGGCATGCTGTCACTCACACACCTGGGCAAAGGCAGGATGCCTTCTTTTAACCCTCTGCTCTCTTCGCAGCTCTGCCGCAGATGGCTCTCCCGTAGCACATCTGCATGACAACAGAAATAAAGACTCACGCTTTGTGCTTCATCTGCGTTTCCCTCCCTCATCCTAAACACCGGCCAGCATCTCGCTGTAGAACGGCTTTTTAAGGAAACTGAAACCCATCCCCATGCTTCACGCATGGACCAACAAGAAAGGAAATTTCCTCAACACATCCGTTGATGCAAGGAACGCAGCCTGCTGCTCCCCACCTTCACCTAGGATCCCATTTTGGATTTGTCTGAGGATGATTTGTAGGGACTCCAGAAGAGATTTCTCACATTGAGCCAACTTGGGAAATATTCCTGAAGATTTTGACAGCTTATTCGTTCTCAAACAGGCTCGTGAACTTCGAGATTTCATGATAAGCTGCAGCGCCAAGGGGCAGGTTCTTCAGTCGCTGGGAAGGAAAAGAAGCAGGCAGCATACTTCAGTGATTTTTATAATGTCATTATAAATATCAAGGACATATGACATTTAATAGAATCATAGCCTAGTTTGGGTTGGAAGGGACCTTAAAGCTCCTCCAGCTCCAACCCCTGCCACAGGCAGGGACCCCTTCCACTGGAGCAGCTTGCTCCAAGCCCCTGTGTCCAACCTGGCCTTGAACACTGCCAGGGATGGGGCAGCCACAGCTTCTCTGGGCACCCTGTGCCAGTGCCTCACAGGGAAGAGGTCTTCTTTATATCTTATCTAAATCTACCCTCTTTTCATCTTATCATTTGATACATGACACATTAAATGTTATATTTAAATATCCAACTGATAAGTAATACAGTTGTCACTGATACACTTTGTTGTTAAATTCAAATACATAGAGATACTCACTGCATTGTGAAAGAAGTTGCAAAGATGCTTTGCCCAAGGACACCTGAAAACCAGATAGAGAGTCTTAATCCATTTTCTCATAGGGATGCACCTGCCCTCAATTTCAGCCACTCTGAGTTCTGCATTACTCAAGGCTTTACAAAAAGGCCAGTCCAACAACCCACTTTAACTTTCAAATAGAAATGAAATAAGGTATTTTATTTTCTCTGCTACACACAGCAAAGGCTAGAGAGAAGAAACTGAAGAATTTCAACTTACCTGCCCATGATTTCCACTTAAGACACTTACCAAGAGGTGAATTTTCACCATTACTCTGCTGCCAGCAGCTATGTGTGAATTAAAAGTGCCAGAGCAATTACTCTGCCTTCTAGTATACAACCAGAGAGTCAATTAATTTAGAAACTATTATGTCAATACATTAAAGTCTATCACTCTAAAGCCTAGAGAGCTTTACTGCCTAACACAGGAGAGCAAGGATTACACTCAGAAACAGCTCAAGGTCTCAAAAGTGACACATCAATGCTTCCTTATCATTTGCAATCCAAACAAAGTACTTAGACTCTTTCAGGACTGTTTTCCCCACCCACTGAAGCTTTGTGGCTGCTGCAGAGCAAGTGGTGTCTCTTAAAAGACAATGACAGGCACATAATGCTGTCCTCAGTTTGCATAACAGTGCACATACATTCCTCAACCTTTAGGTTTTGGTGGGGGTCTACTCCCTCCCCACCGTGTGAAGTATTTCTTACAAGCTTAGTACTGACCCTGTTCTCCCACTGTATTCTTTACAGATGCACAATGATACACGTTTTGAGCTACTTTTAATTATTTTCTCTAAATAAAGCCATATACAGTATTAAGCCTCCTTAGATTCCAGTAGCAGCTTTGTTCCAAGTCCTAATTAAGAGGTTTTTTGGTTGCTGTTGATGACAGTGATGCTTCAGTAACAGAACTAGACTGTACCCTGTGTAATCTGGATGACTGGTCAGAGCTGCCAAGAGGAGACCTGTTTTTCACAACACTGGGAAGTGAGGAGGCCATTTGGTTGCAACAGGTAACAGAACAATTTCAAGTCTACCCAGAGCATCATGTTCAGTACCTTTACCACTGCTAATGACAAGGAAGAAGGAAAACCAAGAATCAGCTGTGAATTAAGACAGTTAAAAGAAAACGACCTTCAGCTTTGCAACACAATGATTCTCTATCTGGCTATGATGAAGATTCACACTTACACATGCAGATTCTCTGTGATAATATTCAGACTCAAGAGGCCAACGGATTGCATCTTCTGATGTCTGCAAGTCAGGAACAGGCAAAGAAATTCACCCACATACAGGGGACCAAGGTTTTGCCACCTAAGCGATACAAAAGCAGGAAACAGAACACAGCTGTGCAACAGCAGAAACAACTTGCCTACTAATTCCTGGCATCTTATCTGCGTTCTTGACTTATCCAAAGCCCTGGGCTGGCTGGTTTCAAAGAGTTAAGGGTCACATCTCTGCTAAACGTCACTGCTGCTCTTACTGTTTCCATAAGCAGACAGACAGGGAGCAAGTGTTTACTCACAGCTTTAGCATTGTTGCTTTCTGACAATGTAGATCTCTCAACATCAGGTTGACAGTGCCATCGAGAATGTTTTCGTCATAGGAAAGATGGTCCAATAACAGCCTCAAAGCCCAAAAGTTACTCTAGGAAGAGACAAAGTGGCAATCATTTCTTAAAAACCAGCCTGAACTGAAGGTCAGCAAAGTTAAAGAGGAACAAATCAAGTTAAATGTGTCCAAAATCTCCACGTTGGTGTTACACACATTTTAAATATCATTTGCTTCCATCTTTTAGAAGAGAAATCAACAGCCAGGACTCACCCCAAAAGCCAGGGCTATCTCTAAGAAGGAAGTCAAGTATGGAAGATCACAAAAAACCATCTGTTGTATTGCTTGTACTGCGACAATAAGACAAGCCTCTTGGTGTAACTACAGGGAGAGATGACAAGAAGAGACATGTATTTAAAAGCCCACTTTCCCCACTACTTGCCTACCTCATCCCATCAAATCAGCACTAAATCACTACCATTCCAGATAGACAGGTTAGATGTCACACATGACATCCACGTGCATCTTAAGAAGGCCAAAAGAAAGGGGAATAGAACAGGTATTTATTTCTGGGAACATCAGGTGAAACATGCTATAAAGTCCTCCCAGAAATATGAAGCAGAAATAGGAGTCACATATTTGTAAGCTGTATTTCCTCTACAGTAGGAAAAAACAGTAAGAAATCTCCTTAGATGTACTGACTGTATTCAATACAGAATATATTCCAAGCCATTTTTAGACATGTTCCACTATACTTGAAACCATTCTTCAAAACCAGTTTAGAAATCCTGAGCTATTCCAAGTTTTGAGCCAAACACTGTGTCAAGTCTCAAAGTGTAGTCTCCTGTTTAAAACAAACTGTACAAGATCACCCTTGATCACAGACAGAATCAACTACCACCAGCCCTCCCACGTTATAAATGTATACATTTGGACAGTTATAAAGCAAGACTTGTCCTAGGTTGAAGATGGTGTCAGACCAGAACAAAACCTTATCGCTTTCTTACTTCAGATGTCTGCTCTAGCCTTTAGACTGTGCTAAGAACAGTCTAGGCCAATTCCTCCCCCCAAAATCTTCAAGCTCCCTTTAAAAGCCTTTAATAATCCAACTGTTTTCAACACTGTTATATCTTCAAGCACAATAACACAAATAGTAAATTTTCTTATTGCTATGTGCACACTTACATCAGGAGAGAAAATAGAAGGTGGTAAAGAAACGTTAATTTTTGCCTTCAGTTCCTTCAAAGGGCCACAACTGGCAGCAAGCACCCCCTAAAACACAGGTAATGGGTCACAAGGAAAAGGATGTTCAGATACTCTACAAACAAACAGTGGTCAAGATGTTCTTTAATGTACTTTTACACATATTTTTCTTAAACTGCTTCGCTATCCATTTTGTTACCTGATCCATCTCAACAGTAAAAGATACAGACTCAGTATTAGGCATTGAGCTGCATGCAGAATTAATCACTGTAGTATTTAACACTCCTGAGTCACAACATTCTGCACATACAAGAGTATTTGAGGAACTGTAAAGTTACCCTTAGCATTTAGAAGAACAAGCCAATGCCCACATCAAATGAAGTCTCATAAATCCAAGACAAGAGGTTCTCCCATTTCACTGGACTGTTTCAGTTACCTTTTGGAAGTCAAGTGGTGGCTCTCTCAGGAATATGGGACGTAGGTGCCCTCTTTTTCCCAGAAAACTGCTACTGCCCAAGATCATAACGAGGGTACTCCAGCATTTAGGCTGCAACACAGCAGAGCATTTGTTTTACAAAGCCAAACCTGTTCACAGAAGTGCAAACTCTTCAGAGGTAAAAGGGTTTTGATAGTAAATCCTTGCATTAGGGAAGTAACTGGACAAAACAGGTAATACAGAGAAACACTCAAGGGGCCACAGAAGCACAGTTTTAAGAGACTCACATTCCTGTAGAGTGACGTGTTGCTGTAAAGGAGTTTCAGTGCCTGCTTAATCAGAGCACTATCTTTCAAGGGACGCCCTGTAAGAAGAAAAAAAATATCCAAGCCATCTTATATTTCCTGAATAACTACAGATTAGGAAACCAAACAGGATACTTAGTTATAGGTATGTTTCTACAGAAACCTAGCAAAGAGACAAACAAGTGTCTACAATTGTTTTACAGTATTTAGTAGGTTCCGAACTGAAGGACATCAGCAGTAAAATGCTATTCTGGAAAGCTGCAAAGAACTGAATACAATTTAGAGCAGGTGACCCAGAACAAAGTCTTCATTATGTACATCACAGTCAGTATCCCACACTTTGAAGAACCCTGCTAGTAGCTGAACATCTCCAAAATAAATCAGAATACCCCTTGACAAGTAGCACACACCAGATGATCACAGTTATGAGTGCCTGACCTAGTGACAGAATGTAATGCACAGACTATGAAACCCTTTCCATCAGGAAGCTTTAATTCTCAAGGTCAAAACTGAGACATACCACAGTGCAAAGTGACACACTACCCCTAGAGTCACACCATGATGCAACAGGGAGATCTCTATGTTCATAGGTTGCTTTTGGCAAAACAGCTTCACAGTTGATGAAACTAGTCCTGTGTGAAGTGTAGCCAAATGAGGGTACACTTCATGCTCAGATATAGTCATGCTCAGATATAAAGACATTCTTCCTGCCTGGTGCTATGGCCTATGCTTTAGTCCAGACAATTTATAGGTGGGATCAGAGTCCCTTAGAATGTTATTAATATTAATGAAAAAGTAAAAGCCATAATTAAGATTCTAAACATGCTTAAGGAAGAAATCACACTTGCCAGCTGCAATCCAGAGCCCAGGGTCCAGTATATCATTTCCACCTGGGACGCTGCCTGTTCTGAACATCTTCAGATAGACCTCATACTCGGAGGCTGTTAGGCGGCAGGCAGTGCAGCACGCGAGGTTGTTGACAGCAAACAGCAGGGAATGGGCAGCATCCATGAAGTTTCCAGATTTACACAGATAGAACGGGATTTTATCCTGCAGGTGGCTTAACCTGGAAAGAGAAAAGGGATGAGTATTTGGTTTTCATTAATATGAACGTTTTACTCTACATTTTATAGATCAAATTATGTTTGACCACTAGTGAGTTACACTGATGAGGCAGAAGTTAGTTGCAATGCAGCATGGCTTTCACTTGGCAAACAGCTGCCAAAATCCTACTGCTTTTCATGCTATTAGTTTATTACACATTGAAGAGAAACAGGTTAGGACACATTCTTAAGGCAAAGAAATAATTGGGAAGATAAAAAAAAACACATTTACCCTTTGATATCATTGCACTTCACAGCCCTCAGGTAGCGAACAACTTCTTTATAGCTGGGGAGGAAAGAAAAAGATAGTAGGAAAAGCAAGGACGTGGAAAGCTATATATAGGTCAATAAAACATATACTACAATTAATGAAGCAAAACAATAGGTTTTCCTACATAAGATACATTGCACAAGACGAGACATAACTGGTAGAAAGAGACAGTTGGAATGAAGCTCCAAGAAGCCACCCACTGATTATATCTGCACTCTGGCAAAATAAAACAGGAGGCTGCTTTTCAATTTAATTCTTTAAGTGGACTGTATTCTTTTAAATGCAGACTTCTGAAGACCCAGAAGCCAGAACACACTTTTTTGGCCAGCTTCCACCTAGTCAGCCTTTAGATGAACAGAATTTGTTTTAAACATCAACATCCAAAACCTACTGGGTGTACAGAAACAAGGAAATGATCCACTTCAACATTCTTTTTCTGACCCTGAAGCATTCAAAGGCCTTGATTCTGCTTTGAAAAACTTCAAAAAGCTACTGGCCTTCTTGATAAGGAATGGGCACAAACAGCTTCAAACATGTCTTTGTTTTGCAGGTTTCCCCATTACACAAATCTCAGATGTTAGGAAAACACTACAGTGCAGTCAGCACCATGCAAAACAAATGATGTGTTCATAAAATAAAGATACAAAACAAGGCCAAACTGATCTTACTTGTTCTTGTCTACCAATCTCTCCACTCGAGCCTCTATAACAGAAAGCCATTCCCACAGGGACACTTTTCTTCCTTTCATTCTTCTCTGACCAGTGACGTTCTGGCCTTTTAACACAGTGGTCAGTAACACATGATCCCATGGCATAACATTCAAGCTGGAAGTACAAAAAGAAAGTCATTTTCAACCATGGGTTTTTGTACACCACAACTCCTTTCCCTTAAGCAACATGAAGATTTAGCAATGAAACATATGGACAACTTAGCCATAGGATCTACAACCAGAACTTTTCCTGGTAGGATAGGACAAATACAAAGCAGCCAATACTGCAATCTCCCTATAAAACGCTGATGCCCATTCTATACAGCTGTTTTCACATCAGGCAACTGTATAAAAACACCTTCTCTAAACAACCCGTGAAGAACATACCTGTTTGAGAAGCCAAAGCAGTGACATGGAAGTGAGATGGACTGAAAAAAGTTAATAAACTTTTCATGCAAGAATTTGGGGAAGTCACACAACACCAGCATCCTCTGAAGTTGGGTTGTGATCCTGTGTTTTGAAGAGAAAAAAAAAACAAAGAAAAATCAAATTCTCTTAAATTTGGAGGAATTACTATTAAGTTGTTGTGGGGTTTGGTTTTAATCCTATGGGAAGCTATTCTACACAAGTTCAGGGGCTTGGTTTTGGTTAAAAGTCAGACAGCTTGGATCTATACTTGACTTTGTGCTTTAAGATTTGTAGTGAATAACAGCATTGGTCTTTTATTGTTTTAAACATCAGTGAAACCAAGGTTCTGTGGCCTTAAGTTTTAAAGCAACGATCAGCACTGAGTATATGGAGAAACACTGATGAATCCAAGAAGTAACCTGGTCAACTGAAGCTCCTGGCACCCTCACAGCTGCAGAAACCATTTCCTTCTTACCTGACCACTGGATATAACACAAAGGAGGGTTTACTCTTTGAGAACTGGGTGAGGGAGACAAAAAATTCCTTTTCTTTTTCTTTTAAAGAAATGAAATTCAAGAATAGCAATTTAAAATGAAAACTGAGAGAATTTAGGTTACACCTGTCATTAGTTTCAAATAAGAGGTGAGAACATGTAATTGTTTTTGAGGGCTCCTGAAAAAAAAGTTAATTCTTAATTCATTAACCTTCTGGTGCAAGTGAATTTTGGGTTAAAGGTGAAATATAAAGCTAAAATGAGAAACGAATTAAGCCAAATGGGCTCGACGTCCTCATTCATCAGCCTCTAGGGAACAATGCGATGTTACATCCTTGACTACTCCATCCCAGTGGAATACTACAAGGCTGCTGTTTTGGTCTTTAACAGATCACTATTTACTCTTTGGCTTACCAACCACAAGTAGCCACCTGACACCACCTTCTGGTCTAGCCTTGCAGAACACTCCTAGAATACTGTCAAAAAGTAATAATCCATCTTCTTGGCTTCATGTTATTCCCCTTTGAAGCAGCACAGAATGGTTTGAATATTTATGTGGCTCTAAATAAAGCCAATATTGCCCTTGTCCTTCACAGAAAGGAACTAGTATTCAACAAAGCTTTTAAACCCCCTGATTTGTAGTGTACAGCTGTAAAACCTGACAGCACGCTCACGAGGCTGACTGATGTACACCGTTTGTATTCTGCCTGTCCCTACCCATCTGCAGTCTACATGCAGGCAGCAGCAAGCTGCTCTTGCTCTGCTCGATACCTAAGACACCACAGTGAGGTTGTGCTCCCTGATAAGGAGCTCCTGATGCCACAGAACCAGAAGATTATACACCTGTGCAGGTTTACTTCTGGCTTCTAAGAGCCAAAGCATTCACTTTCTTTATGCTTTTGAATAGAAGTATTTGAAATTTATTTTAAATGCAAGCAGAAAGTCTGCACCCAGCAACCACCCCTTTGTCCTCTCATCATATGGCAAGATAAGTCTTACCTTTGCAGCAGACAAGGGACAGCAATCTTCAATGAAGAAGAGTGACCAAAGTTCTGCCAGTTTCTAAAAGAGGAGGATAAAAGCCCTAATTAATGTTTGTCTTGTTTTCCTGCCTTTGCCCTCTTCTCTATAATCAACTCTTTAAGAAAAGCCCACCTTGACTTCTCCTTTATAAAAAGCCTTGATTTTAAGCCCCAAACTACATTGATTTTCCAGTGCAAAGCTCTGCAACCTTTGCTCAAGCTAGACAGTAATCAAGCATGAAACAGCCAGGATATTAACAAGAAAATAAACAGCACCAGTAGTAAAGGCTGAACTATCTAAGCTCTGGTTGTATTATGTTTCATGTAGTCCTCCCAGCTGACAGGGCAGCCTCCAGGCTTAGGGAAGGCAACTAAAACTTATTACCCAAGGAACACATCACATCCTCCCTTCCTTCCAGGTCTGAAGCAGATGTTTCTTCACACAGTGCAGCTTGTGCACTCTCCACTCAGGAAAGCTCCCTTGCCCCTGTGCCTTCTCCTGGGGAATTAACCCCACCAGCCACCATCTGCTGTCTATCAGCCTCCCACCTCCCAAGTTCCCACCTCAAATTCCTTCCCCTTGTTGGAGATCATCTCCCCTCCTCGTGACTCAATCCTACTTAACTTCTTCCTCTCACATCCAACCTTTAACCTCCTCTTTTCCCCAAAAGCCCTCCCCATAATCAGTCTCATCTCTCCCTCAGGTGTGCTCAATTTCCTCTCACTGTACTGCAGCCAGAGCTGTGAACTTTACACCATTCTTACCCTTAATAAATGGAAAACCAGAACTCTTGGTCTCCTCCCTCTGAGGAGCAAAGGAAGATCACACACTAGAAGTGGAACTGGATACTTACAAAGCAGGGTCTTTATGAAGTGCTATCTCCTTAGCTGCTCCCAGAAACATGACAGCAGTAGCTTTTGGATTCTCTTTTTCTGCCTGATTTAAAAATCTTGTTACCAGTGTAAAAACTCCAGAATACCTAAGAAAGTGAAGTGGTCTATAAGATAAAGTGCCTGCAATGATGGACTTCATAAACAAGTGGCAATTACAACCATTCTACACTTTGAGAGCAAACTGACTTGCCTCTCCTTGAAAAGCCTCTCTAACCATTTAATAGCTCATTGGCCAAGTAAGGTCTTCTCGACTCTTCCTGCTGTATCAGGTGCAGCAATTCCAATTACCACTTCACCAAAGGAAGTCAAACTTGCACTCAGCAGCATGTACTGCTAGTAGCTGAGTTCTGTTGTCACTTACTTGTATACAACCTCCATGCCATGTGATCTACAAATATCGCATTGCCCAGGGGGGAGTTTTGGGAGGCAAAAGCATTCGTGTTGTGTGGGAAGCACTTCTCCAACCAGATACTTATTATATTCCACAGAAAGTTCCTGGATAAATTTTTGCAGAAGATCTCCTAAGAGAGCAGAGACAGATGTGAAATCTAGTGCAATATTTAATCTTTTCAAGGCAAAAAGAAACACAAAGACAGTCATAAGCACCCTGTGGAAAATACTTTTCATTGCTCACACCCAATCTTATTGCTCAGGAAAGCTTCGTTGCTTCTTTGGGAGGAAAGCAGGAAAGTGCACAAACTGCACCTGCAGACCTGTGTCTACCCCGAGTATAGCCCAGAGGACTAACAGTAAGCTGCTACCATAAAAATCCACCAAGCCTTTTCAAGGAGACTTGGGGACCAGACAAGATGCCCATCAAGCCCCAGACTGAGTAGCCACAGCGAGTCAAGTGTCCCAGGACAGCGTGATGTGTACTTACCACCACGCCGAAGGTCTGCATCTAAATCTGTGAGCTGCAAATTGAACGTTACAAGGATGCCAGCCAAGGCACAGTCGCGTCGATCCTTCCAGAACTTGCTTTTGTTGTGTGCATTGCAGTGGCAGAGGGCAGGGATGGTCCAGTTCTTACACTATTTCACAAAACATGAAAACCAGGGAAAGGTTGGGTTCTTTTTTCCCCCCTACCAGATGGGCAAATCAAAAGTTAGTTCCTCTGAGTGAAGGTCTACAGTTCACTTTACACTTTACAGACCCAGGCAAAGCCACAGTGAAGTATTTGCACAGTCAGGGCAAGAGGCTAATACAATAACAACTTGATATCATGGCTAGCAAATAAAGCCCATAGTAATTTCCTATCATTCCTGAATACCTTACAGAGACACTTCAGGTTGGCACCCTCCCCACTGTCACCTGGTGACACAGCACTGCCTTTGCATGTTCACCTTCACTTCCACAGTTTTCCAAGACAAACTCAACATCCCCACACATCCAATTCCTTCAACTCCCTCAATCTATGTTAGGACAGTCTAAAAGCTTGATATTTCTCCAGCACAGCGAGACCAGCCTGATTTAGTAATTTGAATACAAGTGAAATACACTGTGTGGCTAAAGCAAACAGCAGGTACAATTGCTCACACCAAGTGAATATCTACTCCAACAACTGGCTGGACTAGCAGAAATAAACCCAGCCAGTGACTATGTTTGTAGAAGCATTGTGAAGAGAGAAAGATTTAGGAGAGGAACTGTTAAAATATTAAATTTCATCTATCATTTATTCTTTTAGTGTGTTCAAGAGCAATTTCTTTTTCAAAAGACTGTTGAGTAATGGAGTTTACCTGAAGTTGTGAGATCCCTGATTACAATTCTTACCTCAGAAGCTAGCTTATCACAAACATAGCAGTAGCACTGGTCACAAATATCAGCATTCTGCCCAAGGGGTGAGCATGTATCACATTCCGTTCGCCTACAAAGTGGAAAAGCAGGAGGTTATTTATGAACCAAGCTCATGCTTATCCAACTCTATTGCTTTCAGCTGCTAAAAGCTAACAAGGTTACTGGACAAGATGGACTAAATGTGCAAAATGAACACCCCCATTCACCCCCCCCCCCCACTGAGCATACTTAAACTTGTGCGTTGTACAGTCGTATCTTGCATGTGGCATCACATTAGCTTTTTTGCAGAAAGTAACCACTAGATCACATTCCTCATCCACAACTTCCTCGGATTTCCCCTCCTCCGGAGCAGGCTCCTCTGTAGACAAGATGCAGCAAAGGAAATGACAGCTTCATTACAAGCTCATCCAGCTATTGTGACATTTAAGTGTTAAAAGCACTTTCAGGCCCAAGTTTTCTGATGGTTTCATACAGTGTCAGTAAGAATGGGTGCTGTGGGTTAAGGCCAGCTGGTGACTGAGGACCACACAGCCACACGATCACCTCCCCACTTCTTCCCCCCCGCTCCTGGCGGGATGGGAAGGAGAATCAAAGGAATGTAAACCCCACGGGTTGAGATAAGAACAGTCCAGTAACTAAAGCATAATACAAAACTACTATTAGTACCACCAATAATAATAAGGGAAATAGCAAGGGGAGAGAATATAAAACTAAAAAGGCAAGGGAAAAACCCAACAATAAACACAAGTGATGCCCAACACAATTGCTCAGCACCCACTAACCCAGCCCGGCCCGAGCAGTGATCTGAGCCTTCCAGGTGACTCCCCCCGGTCTCTATCATGGGCATGATGTGCTGTGGGATGGAATACCCCTTGGCTAGTTTGGGACAGGGGTCCTGTCTCTGCTTCCTTCCAGCTTCCCGTGCCCCTCCTCACTGGCAGAGCATGAGACTGAAAAGTCCTTGATCAGGGTAAGCACTACTGAGCAACAACTAAAACATCACTGTGTTATCAGCTCTGTTCTCAGGCTAAAGCCAAAACACAGCTCTGCACAAGCTACTAAGAAGGCAAAAACCAGCAGTTACAGCTGAAGCCAGGACAATGGTTCAGTGGTCTGGGACAAAAACTTCCTGACACTATCAAACCAGAACTAATGGAATCCAAAAGGATCCAACCGACACAGAAAAGCCCAATCTCAGCTCAGTTTGTAACAGAACAGCCAAAGGAATCTCAAAAGTTATGAAATAACAGGAGTTCCTGCTGGTTTTATTTATGTGTAAAACATTTTGTTTTCAGAGCAGAACGACTCATTTTAAGCATATAAAATATTTATAAAGATAGCTTTATAATTAATAAACATGAGTTTATTTCCAAAGCTCTTTACAGAGCTGCCTCACCAACTTACCCAGAGGGTCCACCAACATAACTGGGCTGCCCAGCGGGTCCTCAGCTTCATCATCACTGATCAGGATTATGCTCTGCTCTTCCTCTTTTTTCGATGGCCACATGGTTACCAAACTCCACGGGAAATGAACTATTTGAGAGCAAACGGGACACAAAGTTAGGGCTGCCTTGGGAAGTCCTTTCCTCGAGAGGGACATAAAGACTTCTCCCTTCACCTATGTGAAGTTATGGAAGGGACAGAGACAGTGCTCAGTACAGAAAACACTGCAGATACCACTGAGAGAACCCTATAAAAAAAGGGGGATGGGGAGAAAACAACCCCAAACCTCTCAAAGTGCTGTTCCTTTGGTTAGGTGGGCCCGCTATGAAGCGGCTCTTTAACAGCTATCGTTCACCCTAACCAGAATCACACAATGAACCGGGTTGGAAAAGCCCTTTAAGGCCATCAAGTCCACCCATCCCCCGAGGCCACCGCTCACCCGGGGTGCGAACGGGGGCTGCAGCCTCAGCACCCTTTGTGGGGGAACAAAACCCACCTGGAGGCCCCAAAAGAACAGACCCTGCTCCCCCCCCCCACAACCAAACCCCGCCATCACACCCCATGGCGCTCCCTGAAACCACCCCCACCCCCTTTGCTCACCTCAAGCGGGCTCCTCACCCCCCCCCTCCACCGCTTTCTCCTTCTCCCCGCCTCGCGGTACGGCCACAACACACCCCAAAAACAACTCCGCTCCGCCGGGCCCCGCGCCCCCCTCAACCCCGCCACTATTTGAACGCACAACTCCTTCCGTGGGGCTGACCGCGGAAGGGGTCCACGGCCGAGCGCCCACCCCGCACCCCCCCGCCTTACTTCCGCCCTGACAGCGGCCGCGCCGCCATGTTTAGTGAGGGCAAAGCGCGGCAGAGCGGCGCCGCCATGTTTAGTGAGGGCAAAGCGCGACGCCGCTATGTTTAGAGCCGGCGAAGTGCGGCGCCGCTATGTTTAGTGAGGGCAAAGCGCGGCGCCGCTATGTTTAGAGCGGGCGAAGTGCGGCGCCGCTATGTTTAGTGAGGGCAAAGCGCGGCGCCGCCATGTTTAGTGAGGGCAAAGCGAGGCGCCGCTATGTTTAGAGCGGGCGAAGTGCGGCGCCGCCATGTTTAGTGAGGGCAAAGCGAGGCGCCGCTATGTTTAGTGAGGGCAAAGCGAGGCGCCGCTATGTTTAGAGCGGGCGAAGTGCGGGGCCTCCATGTTTAGTGAGGGCAAAGCGAGGCGCCGCTATGTTTAGTTAGGGCAAAGCGAGGCGCCGCTATGTTTAGAGCGGGCGAAGTGCGGCGCCGCCATGTTTAGTGAGGGCAAAGCGCAGTGCGGGGCTGGTTTAACGCACTCTTCCTCCTCCATAGGGTGTAGAATGAGAGGGAAATGGGAACCAGTGTAGGGTTCTTGTGGTGTGTGAGGCCGTGAACCCCATTGCCGTTCCTATGGCCTTTATGGGGTGCCATGGCCCCCCAGATGAACCTGCCCCGCAGCCGGGGATGTTGTCTGCATTGCGGACACGCTCATCCCGACCCCCCGCGGCCAGGACAGCAGCTGCTGGTGGGGGAAATGCTTTCACCGCATGTGGTCAGCCCTAATCGCCGCCTTCTGTCGCGACAAGCTCTTCCTGTCGCGACCCCAGCGGTGAGGCAAGAGCCCCATCCAGCAGCTGCGGTCTCCGTGGGAACACTAGATGGTACCAGAGCTCTACGCAGGCTGAGGCAGGACCCGGGCAGCAGAACCGGGAATTCCGGAACGTGGAAAGATGGGCAGCTGCGGTATAGAAATAGTATGGAAAAGTAATCGCTTTTTCTATGGGATAAAGCAGACGAGGGGGTGCGAATAAAATAAGGCCGTTTGTGGTGCTCAGGCAACCGGTGGGATGTGTTTGTGGTTAAAAATGATCAGCAAAGGGACAGTACCTGGTAGGGACTCACCCAAAGGCTGATTCATAATGGATGTCTCATTACTAAATCTAAGAGGTATTTGAACCTAAGCAGAAAGTGCCATTAAATCATGAAACTGAAGTCAATTCCTCGTATAATTCATATTGGGACTATTCAAACGGCGCTCAGTGACCACCTTCTCTGTGAGCGGCTGCGCGCGTTGCGATGCGCTGCCTGGGACGGGAATGTGTTAAAAGAAGCAGCCTTCCTGCACATGGATATGTATTCCATGAATAATCCTGAATGCCTCCGTGGCTTTCAACACACGTGGGCGAAATGCCTCCAGTTTCTGTGCTTACAATGAGGAGCCTAAACCCGACACCTAAAGAGGTGGCCCTGGCAGGGAGAGCTTTCAGTAGAGACATCATTTCCCTCCGGCAGTTGCCCCTGTAGCATCGACAGCATTTTAACAGCCCTGGGTAACTCAAGGCAGCAATTTAGGTGGTGAAATGACGTATTGAGATAGCGGGAGAAACAACAGAGGCAGGGCTGGCGCTCGGCCACAGGCGTTTTGCTCTCATGCAGAAGCCCTACAAGATGAGGATCTTGTGGCTAAATATGGTCAGGACTTTAGCGCTGCCTCATCCAGAACACAGCAGCGCTGGTGTTTCCTCTCTTTTCCCGATGAAGCCTTGGTGGCATCGGCCTAATTTTAGTGCTGTGGGTGTAAAATATGTGGGTTGCGTTTCGCATCGCCGGAGCTCAGGCTGCTCTGCCATGGCGGGGTTCCTGCCCAGGCCTCGCGGAGCTCGGCGCCTGGGATTGACAGCATAGGCTCCTGCTTCGCGGGCTCTGTCTGCTTGCTTTGGGGGGAAGAGGCAGCTCTCCTGCTCCTTGAGCCTGTAAGGTGAACACTGCCCCATCCTGAGCTCCAGGCTGTGAGGTGAATAAACCAAGGATAGAGCATCCCGCAGAGGACCAGTGATGAGGCTGCTGTTTGATCCATTTCAAGCAGCCAGCCAGAAGCGGTCCACAAAGCACTAAAAAGGCCTCAAAATACACGAGGAAATGCAAACAGGATTCTTCTGTTCATGTTTCAGCATGAGAGCAACAGCTTTCCCATCACCTCACAGCACAGGTTGCTTTGCCATGCGCTTCCCCTGCCCCTTTGAAGGGAGCTGGAGCTCTGCAATGCTCTTTGCTTGGGCCTGGAGCAACATGGGGCTGTGTTTGTGAGCTGCATGGAATGGGGGTAGAGATCCAGGGATAAAGGAGATGAGGGTGTATTTGGGGATAGCTGGAAAGCCCAGAATAAAGCAGTGGAACACTGACAACAATCAGCCGCAGGCTGGCAGGTGGAACAGCAAGGAGGGAATACGTGGTGCCCTGCATCATTAAACTGCTGCAGATTATTGATGCTGTGCCTATTGCTTCCCCAGAGGGGTAAAATAAGAGGTCCCCAGTTGGACCCACATCAGTCCTGCCTGTCTGGAGCAGTCTGGACATTAACTGAAGATGCAGAAGACCTGCTCGCTGGGAGTGAGGACCGGGGGAGCGGGTTTCTATCCACCAGCTCCTGAAGTACAAAGGGAATTTAGGGAATTTCTCTGTGACCGCAGCAGCAGAGCTGTGGAGCGAACAGACCATTAAAATGTCTGTGCAAAACAATTGTCACGTCCCATTTCCATTTGCTGCTGCTTCATTCTGCTGAAAGGCGAAGGCCCGTTTGTACCTGATGACAGGCTTGGGATAGATCAATTGCCTGGAAAAGGCTCTGAGGATTGAAACCTACAATTCCACATGGACAAGTGCTAATCCATCAGCCTGCTGAGCCCAACCAAGGTCTTTCCAGGCGCTTGGAGCTGACTCGTGTCATGGCTCTTGTGCTTGTTTGGCCCCGAAAAGGGATGTTCAGTGTTGGAACTGTAAGAGAGATTCTTATAACTGAGCTTCTGGGAAAAGAGTTGTGGTCTTTCCTAGCTACCTTTGGCATCTCTACACATTCACTGCCTCTGTTAATGGGCAAACTTTCCACGGTGACATGAGGGTGGGTTCCCCCTCGCTTCAACCTTTGAAGTGCCTCCTGGTACATTGCAATGGGCTGACGAAGCGTCGTCTGCTGTATGGCATCAGCTCTGCTCAGGTTTCATAAGGAAACAGGACTTACGTGATTGTAACGTGTGTATGAGTGAGTGACGGGCTCTGTTTGTATCCTGATGTTGCTGAGATGGGAGGAAACCATCCTTGCTCTCCAAAAAGCAGGATCCAAGAGGAGGGGGTGAGGAAAAACACGTCTTGCAGTGCAGGAGGAGAGAGATGGTGGCAGAGCAAGGGGAGTGGGTTTGCTTGGAGCCTGACTTAGTGGCCTACCTCTCTCTAAACAAGAAACAAGCTTTAACTTGAACGCTGATTTTGTGAGGAAATGAGACTTCTGTGGGGATAGCCCCAGGGGTGTAAGATTCCCTCATGTTTCCCTCACAGCCCCAGCCCTTGGGAATTACTGAATTCTGGTGCCCATTCCAACCAAATGGACAGCACGTAGAAACCCCAAAGGTAACAGGTTCCTAAAAGTACTGTGGTAAGAGATGTGCGTGTGCAAGAGAGAGAAACCCTCCATCTGGGCCTCTCTGAGGTCATAAAACTTCAAATCCAGGGAGAGATGGGGCAGAAATTCCCAAACCATGGAAAAAGCTGGGTAGTATTCATGCCTGTGAGACACCAGAGAGTCCACACGGGATCAGATGCCTAAGGAAGGGACTCTGGGCGGCTGATCAGGCAGGAATTGCTCCGGGTGAGGTATTCATCATGTCTTTTTCCCCCACGTGGCTTTTCTGGTGTGTAAGAAGGGGTGAAAGCCCCAGTACAATTCAAAGCCCATCAACCATGAGGCAGGAATCCAGTGGAAACTAAGAGGACAATGGGGGGTGTTTTAATGCTTGAAAGACAACGGTTCATTTAGCTCTTTCCCCTTGTAATGTTTCCTTCCCCAAGACCAAATAAAGCCGAAATGAGATGCCGTGAGAAAGACTGTTCCTGGGGTGTTTCAGGCCCTGTAAAAGTGGTCTGCTTTGATGGCTTGCAGGGGGACAACAGCCAGGCCAGGCCGGGAGAATCACAAGGACCCACCAGTGCTAATTCCCCTCGGGCTCGGAGCCAGCCTGCGTGCCGGGCGGGAGAGAGGAGAAGTGGAGATGCTCCCTACCTCGGCACAGCGGCAGCCAAGAGCTCTCGATGGAAGAAACAGATGAATG